TTATTTATTTATTTATTTGTCCACTGCTATACTTCCAAGAATCTAAAACAGTGTCTGGTACACAGAGGCACTCAATGAATATTTGTTGAATGAAAAAATATAATTTTTTATGGGACCCAAGAAGTCTTAGGACATCAAACTATAAACCCAATTAGATTATATCTTCAGGTATAATTAAAAGATTAAGCTAAAATCTATAACTTGAAAAGTTTAAATTTTATCTTTTCTTTGATAACTATCCACTTTTTTACAGGAAATGTTAATGATAAAGTCAGTTCCAAAATTGGACCGGCCTAAAAGAAGTAGAGGAAAAGAGGGTCTTTGGAGGAAAAGCAAGGGTAAAGATCAATAACAAAAGCAATGCAAATGAATGTCTAAAGTATTATAGGGTTATCATCAACAACAAAAATGCCAACTGTGTGGTAAGTACTTTGGTTAGAATTTCATTCTTCTAAATGTTCTCATAGACAAAAATATACTCATTGTGTGTATACAGATGGAATATACTATATATAAGTGCAAGTATACCAAAGCTCATTTTTAGATTTAGCTAGAGATATTTGAGAAAGGGGGGCATTCTAACATCTCTGAAGACCTCACTGCAGGATATAGATCCTCCTCTGGAATCTTGAATCACTCACTTTATTAAGAGTTTCAAACATTTCTGTTCTGAGTTATAAATAAAGTTAACAAAAACTACATTTCTTCATGAGGATTTGCTAAATTCCCTCTGGTCACATGGCTTTTAGATCCTGGGTAACCTTCCTATGCTGATCTTTGATGATCCTCAGCTGCATGGCTGCTCTGCAATTTAACCTTCTCTCATTATGCTGTCAACCTGCTAAAGGGATTCTCCAAAGAGCAATCTCTAAACAAATCTCTTTCATGTAATTGCATCCAGAAACAGAACTGAAATACTATATATGAAAACAATAGAAACATAAAAAATGCACACTTTGTATATGAGAATCTGTTTTGTTTTTAAGATTGTTCCATCCAAGACTTACCGTTGTGAATAATGAATACTAGCTATGTATTTATAATGCCTGGCCAAGTGCCTTTCTATACAGTTATTATTTTTAATATCATGCCTCATTAAAGAAAATAATTTTTGATAACTGTCCTTGTTTATATATGATCAATGACTATGAAATATATATAAACATATGTTACTAATATAATTAATGAATGCTTGTTGATGGATAGGATAAAGTTATTTTGTAAAGTTTTTTTTTTCTATTACAAGTCAGTTGTCTCTTCTTCAGCTTTCAGGAGTCACTCCTCACTTTACCACAAGTAGCATCCTTCTTCAATAATTGGATGTCTGGTCTTAGAACACTCTCTCTTCCCTAGATATTTCTAGAATCACTGAGGAATGTTTACAGGTTCCAGAATTACTCTGGTTATCACTGCTATCCAATATTTTGTTTCTTGTGGCAGACTTTGTCTCCTGTCTACTCTAAATCTCTTGTAGTCTATAAACTTCTTTCCTGAGGCAGCTGATGGTACTTCACTCAAAGCATGGGCTCAGAATATTCCCTAACTCCTCAAAGCACACAAGCCAACATGATTTAACAAGATTTTACCAAAGGTTTGGGTAGGAAAAAAAGAGAAATACAGTGAAACACACACACACAGAAAAATAAACAAACACACACTTGAAACTGGATTAAACATAAAAGATCTCTCAGAGTTCTTAGGCCAGCCTACTCCACAGATATTCTTAAACAATTCTCAACTGAGCTAGCTTCCATTCAACTATCATATTGCAAGGAACACCACATCTTCTTCCTACCAGGGAATACAGACCACTCTCAGATGCCCCAAAAAAGGTATGGGGGAGGGGGAGTTTTTGGCAACTCTTCCCAGAGTAAAAATAACCCTTTATCATTTTTATTCTTGAAAGAATAGGATTTATTGTCTTAAACACTCCATTCCCGAATAAAATTTTGGCTGTACCTTTGAATAACCTAAAAGCCAATTAACAACAAAATAATTTCCTCCCCAAAAAGAATGTATCATTCATCTATGAGAAAAATTGTTTTCGACTTTGAATAATATTGTATCTACCCCCACCTATACACACTCATACCCACACATATATTAAAGCCATTGATGTGAGCAAATATGAGAGTCTGGTTTATTGTACACCTAGATCAGCGATATATTTTATGATCATGTGGGGGATGCCCTTACATTCTACTGCAATATATTTTAGTGTTATTTTTTCAAATATTATGAGAACATGTCTATTTTTTAAGAAGATAGTAAAATAAGAATTTCATGAGCACATTTTCATGCCTCTTATTTTTAAAAAAGTCATAGTAACAACTTTTTTTAGATTTAAAGTCTTTGAACACTTTCGGGGGAGATGTCAAGAACAGACAAGCTGATATAACAGATTTGAAATCCACTATGTCAGTATTTTTAAACATTAGCTACACATTTGAATCAGCTGGAGAAGTTTTGAAAAATACTGATACTTGGGCCCTACCACCAGAGATTCTGATTTGTGCGGGGTGTGTCCCAAGGATCAGTATTTTTGTAAAAACTCTCTTTAGGTTGATTCTACACACAGCAAAAAATGAGACTCTCTGCACTACATGTATCCAATGGGATGGGAGTGGGGGGTGAACTACAGCCTGTCAGCTGAAAGGAATTCCATCAAATGGTGTCAAAAATTCAAAAGTAATCACAATAAAAGTATTCTCTGCATTTGATGAGAAAGATGCCCTTTTTCCCCAGAATGTGAGCAAATATTTACTTGTGTTGCTTTTCCTAAAAAATGAAAAACTTTTACTATGATATTTAAAAATTCATGTCTAAATCTAAAATTTATCTCTGTAATTTTCAGAGGAAAAAATGTTTTCTAAAATTTTACATTTTAAAATATTGATTGAATAGTAAAATTAAATGTGTTCCGCTCCTGATCTGGTGAAATTGAACATCTTGGCCAAAAGAGTTTAACAATGAAAATTATATTTAAACTTTTATGACTATAACTAGTGGTATTTGTTGAACTGGAGACCATTCAGTGTGAATTTAAATATTGAATTTTTAGATCACAAACAGGGAACATCTTACAATTCCACAAATTAATTCCGTTTGTAACATTTAGACATAAGTCTTTGGTACAGTAGAGAATTGAGGTAGATGACAGAGGACAGTGCTACTTTATTGTATATTTTTGAGATACTTAATTTTTCAGAGTCTAAGGTATCACATAGAGAAGCTGTGCCCTACTGATGCATAGTAACATGATCTCATGATACTTTCAGAAATACTCAACTTAAAGTGTACGTTGATAATGAACTTGACATAAAAAATTACCTTATTTTAGGCATTTTTTCCTCTTCATGGACGGTTTGGATTGAACTGAATATGAAATCAGTTTCATATTAAAGGTTTAGCTAATTATCTAGGAGTGTCTATCTAGTTTTGTTTTGCTATTTACTCTTGATTCGGCTATTTTAAAACTCTTAAAGTTTGTAAACTAGTAGAAATCTGAGAGTTCTGTAAATTATTCTTGGCTAATAACAATGGAAATGAGTTTCTCCTGTCAAGGAGCATCATTTCTATCTATAGAAAATTTCACAGTCCCAAAGTTTTAGCATCTCTCTTCAAAAGTATCTCTTTCTTGGTATGAAAGGTGCTTTGGTGGTTGTTGAACAGTTTTCAGGAATTGTGATGTTACCCTACGAGGTATGATATGTTACTCTACTTACTTGCTAACAAGTTAGCCTGACACAGTTTTATGTTTGTTGGCAGAATCAATTAATTCCTCATAGGCCTCTTAATTCCTAGCAGACTTCATTACCCTTGAAAAAGTAGACATTTTTATGTTATATATATTTATATGCAGAATATAAATATATACTTAAATTGAAATATCTTTTATATATAACATGATTTATTCATAAGTTCTTTAATAAACTAGTAATCTATATATGTTCATATTATATATTCATATGTTATATATTATATATTAAAAATTTGAATACAATATAAAATATATTTTATATAAAAATGTGTTTTATATATAGGTTCTTTAATAAACATAAATAATCTATAAACCTGCCTTCTGGAGTATTCTGATATATTGGGTTTTAATCTAGTCATGAATTATAAATAAAGCAAACTATTTCATTTTGTCTGTAGGATTTCAGTTTGGAAATTCACCAGGTTTTACATTATGTGACTGTAAACCTGATATATTTTGCAATGTTGAGACTCAAAGATTCCCTATGTAATTCCCTTAATTTATGTAGCCCACTAAAAAATGAGATTTCCCCCCAAAGCTCTTTCAAAGATTGCTGTATTTTTGGTGCTCTAAAAAGAATTAAAATAGTTATCCTAAAGTAGTTATTTTATGTAACTAATTGCATATGAGATCTAGATATGACCATAATGATTCCTGTTATTAAGCTATTGTTAATTTTTTTAAGTTTGATTAATAAAGATCACTTTGAATAATTTATTTTTTTTTAACTTTTGATTGGCATTTAAAAGGTTGGTCTGTCATTTGATTATGCTCTAATTTCATATGCTGAAAATAGAAGAATTTTATGTTTGTAACTTTATAACTATGGTTAATCGCTTTTAAGAATTTTTAACTACTTTAAAATTATATTTTGAGTTTATGTGATCTGAAAAACGGTACCAATAATGGTAGCAAATTCTCTTAAATAAAAAAAAAAAAAGCATTATATAATTTTAACTGAGGATGGGAGTTTGTTTGTTTGTTTGTTTGTTTATGTGAGGCAACCCTTGGTTGACCTCACAGATTGCAAGGATCTTGTCAGTTTACAATCCCTTATTTTTTTATTTTATTTTTTACACCTACAGCACCTGGTCTTCCTAGGTGGTCTCCCATCCAAGTACTAACCAGGGCTGACCCTGCTTAGCTTCCAAGATCAGAGAGGATCAAGATCAGACAAGATCAGGCTTGTTTATGATTCTGGAGTTTAGAGGCAATTCAAATGTCAAAAATTTTAAATTTCACATCTAAATCCAATTTTTGAGAATTAAAATTCAAAAGTCTGGCAAGATGCACAGAAATCACCCTCTCAGTTTAGGAGGGCTGTCCTAACAATAGGTCTGGCTCTTACAGAGGGCAATTTAGAATTAAAAAGAAAAAATCATTGGCTCTTGGCAAGGTCTCATTTCTAAGAAAAAGAAAAGCACTCGAATTTGTGTATGTGCATGTGTTTTAAAAGTAATGCTAAGGAGCCAAAAAGTGAATTTATCATAAATATTTTGAAGAATTTTTCCTACTCAGATTTTGTTTAAAAGGGAAATACATTTTTTAAAGAGCTTTTCATGACATTTAAAAGTAGAGTTTTAAACCATTCTCATATGTTTATTCTGTTTAATCAACTACGCTTTTCCATTTATACTCTAAATGTTCATGCATTAAATCTTGGTAACAATTTTTAATTAATTGTGTGACATGAAACTTGCCCTATCCACTTCAGTTAGAGATAGATTTCAAATAAAAGAGGATAGAAGTTGGAGTAGGAAGAATATTTTGTGAAGGTATAATTAACTTGGATTTTCCTATGTAGGAGTCACATTTTTTTCCCCTCTTTGGATATAAAAAAGTGAGTTAAAGGTTCGAGGTTCTCCATCCTGTGGAAATTTGATTACAACTTTCTATGGTCCCTTGCCTCATATACAGAAATTTGAATGACCATATTTCAAAACTACCAACGTCTATCTTATTTTATGATAAAAGCAGCACAGTAAACCAGAGACATGAGACAATGGTGAGAAAAATATCACAGAGAATATATTCTCTCTTTAGGAAGAAAATGTTAATTTTCTTCTGTATGGGTGGATTTGAATGTTAAAAGCTAAAGATTTGAATGTTAAGAGCTAAGGAAGTAGGTCTCTAAGGGCAAAGGGTATTAATGACCTTGGTTCAGATACTTACCAACAGTCTTGCTGAACCTTCCTTAGTCTGGAGTATACTTGGGTGCTTCTACCCAACCTTCCTTCTCTCTCTCCTTTTGGTCAGATTCTCATTGTGGTCTGACACCTCTCTTAGCCTCCTCAGGCCCCTTGCCCATTTTGTCTCATAGGCTTCCCTCCCCCACCCCCCGAAAAAAATCCTTGCGTGTTTATTCCTGCCTTGGTGTCTACAACTTGGAACACCCGGCATAAGGACTGAAGACTGTTAACAGGTGGTTAGTAGCTAAGTATGAGAGCCAGAACTGCTCTGCTCTGTCACACTATGGTAGCTTACACTGATCCCCTTGTCACCTGTGTTGGGAGGACAGACACAGTTGAATAGCAGGCTAAAGACTTACTTGTTGGAGCTGTAGCATTCCAAACAAGTTTGAAAGCTCAGCCATGGATGTCTTGTTATGTGAAAGTCATGGCCCTACTAGATAAAACCTGAGATCCTGAAACATGAGGTAGAGATATCAGGATGGATTCCCCTGAAGATGTGGACTCTGCATCTCCCCCTGAATACTTTGGGCTTACATGAGTAGCTCATCCTTCCCTTATAAGAGCTAGCTCTTCTGCTTTGCTAGAAGATGCTATAGAAGTTTCTCCTTTATGAGGCATCAAGGGAGTCCCTCAGGATTTGCTCACCTCTCCTTTCATGGCTGCTAGGTTGATAACTAGGTTTAAATTCCAGCACATCCCAGCAGGGGACATGCCAGGCCTCAAAAGAAAATACATATATACACACACACACATACATACATATGTTTTTTATACACACACACACACACACACACACACACACACACACACACAATGCAAGAAGTAGCCAGAATGTAACAGTGAGCCCCCTTTGAGTACTACTGGGATTAGATTCTCATGGTGCTTGATCAAGGGACATAGAATATAAGACTAGATAAGCAAGAATTTCTTACTTAGGTGAACTTTCCTAGGACATGAGACTTAATTTCCAAGTTAGGATTCCTGATGGGGCAAACTCACTGCTGAACTCTTAAAAATCAGGAAGACATGATGGCAAACTCTCAGCAAAGCTGAAATGCCTAATTGTCCTGGCAGACAGTGTAGGAAAAAGAAAAGAGGCTGAGAGGAATGGGGATACTAGAATGGATAGCTTATGTGAGGCCGGAAACCCATCTGAGGATTATGTTCCATGAAGGGGCTCAAAGGACCACACAGTCAATAATGCCATCGGCCATGCACTGGTATGAGGGGCACAAACATCACTAAGGAGTTCGGTGGTTCCTATCAGCTAGGACTGACAGGAGGAGAGGCAGTCACAGAGCTCGGCTCATTAATATCCCTAAGGATGATGTTCGGGTTCCCTCATCCCAATAATAGAGACCAAGTAGCCGGGTTTCACTATAATAAGCTAGGAGGCCACAATTACTATAACGACCAGAAAGAACAGAGGATAAGCTGAGGGGGAGTCAAGAAGGCCCAACCCACAGGGAACGGTGTAGATGATTAATAGAGTACAGTGTCTCTATAGACACAAGAAGGGTAGCCAGCAAAGGTTCTGTTCAATATCAATAACAACAGAAGAGCAAGAATGGAGGGTGTGGAAGATGAGGAAAATTGTCCAAATAAAATATCACAATTCCTTGCTCAGTTATTAGATTCGAGACAATTTTCAGATTCGGAACCCACTGACTGGGTCCTAGGGATCCCTAGGAGGAAGGACCCTCCAACATCACAGCAAGTATACACCACGGCAATTCCCTTACACCTTTCCAAAAGAAAAAGGAAAACGGAATTTTCTTTTCCCAAAGGGACCCACGGTTATCCACTCAGGTGAATACACTCAAAACAGGGAGACTCTACAGACATTTCAAGAACTACGGGACATTGAATACCAGTTAGTTTGCTGTCTTCAACCCTATGCAGCCTCAGAATCCAGCAATTGTCCTGAGGAGAAAATCAGCCATGTGATTGATGCATTCCAAATCTGTCTCCCAATTTAGTCCCGCCAGTGCTAATTTCCTCAATAGCTTCTGATAACTGTCAAACAAATCATCATTTTATCTGGCTTTCCTACTTGTTCTTGATAGGAGTCCTGGTCTACCACAAGTTAGTCCATCTCATTTAGGATGAAGTCTCATTCTGCATTTTATAAACTTCTGGAATAATGTAATTGTTCTTCTATTCTTTTTTCAACAGGTAATTACTTAATGCTACTCTAGCACAGTACCAGATCAGAGTCAAGGAAAACCCAAAATTTTACCATCTACGAAAAGAAGGAAATATTTGGTATTTATGGATATCATGTAATAAAATCCCCAATGCTCTTCATATGCCATGCAATATTCCCATCTCTTCCTCCCTCATCTCCAATATTCACAACCTTATCCCTATAATTTGCTTTAAGACTATCAAGTTTAATTCTAATATGTCTATTATTGTTATTCACATCAGTCACAAGAAGCCCTTGACTCATAGGTTATTACCCATCTCTGGGATCCCAAACCCATATACCTCTGTATATCTCCGAATCTAAGCTCATCTCCTATCATTCTCCAATGTCTGAAGCCATTCCACTAGGGCTTGTGGACTAAAGAGTTAGTCACAAGGAAAATACCCTATATCTTCAGCTAAATCCTCACTTAAAGTTGTCAATAGGTTCTTGAAACTGATGCAAAATGGTTGATAACAAAACTAAAATTACCACAGGTTAATTGATATACACACGTTAAGTTCCTAAGGCATCCCATCAACATTGTAAAGAAACGATGCTGACTGAAACCACATTGAATGAAAGGATAGTACTCGAGGAAATGTCAGTGAAGTTTCTCTTCACCTTTTTACTCCAACTGTGGAATGTCTCTTCCCTGAGGGCATAGATTCCCTCTCAGATCTCTAACATGCTCGCTAGTTTCTCTCTCATAGTCTTTGTACCCTTAGGTATAAAGGCTGGTGGGTGCTCTTCAACTGACAATTTCTGTCTATTCTTCCTCTCTGTTCCTTAAACCCACCAAGATTAGAATTTCGTGACATCAGAGTATGTCACTTGACCCTTCCTTACTCCGGTCATCTCAGTTCTCTCCAGATACCGCCCCATCTTTTGCTCTTACCAAAATATAAAATTGTTTATTTATTTTTGACTTCAATTCTTCTCTTCTATTCTCCATTTAACCCAATTCAATCATTCTTTTTGGCCTCATCTGAAACAGCTCATGTTGATGTCAGGAATATTCTCCTATTGTTAAAGTTTTTGATCAGTTCTCTGTCATGATTTTAAAGCAACATTTGGCACCATTGATGAACCCTCTTTAAACGCTTTTATAACTTGGTTTTCAGCTATCAAATTAGCCTGTTTTTTCTCCAACTTCAGTGAGTGCTCTTTCTCAGTCTGTTGTTTTTTAACCTCCCTTATTTTCCTCAGCCTCTGGCAACCACTTTTCTACTTTTTGTTTCTCTAAGTTTGACATTTAAAAAAAAAAAAAGATTCCATGTATAAGTGATCCCACGCATTATTTGTCTTTCTCTGTCTGGTTTATTTTACTTAGCATAATGTCCACAAGGTTCATCTATGTTGTTACAAATGGCAGCATTTCCTCTTTTCTCGGGCCAAATAATATTCCATTGTATGTATACACTACAACTTCTTTATCCATTCATCGGTTAACAAACACTTAGGTCTTTCCATGTCTTGGCTATTGTGAATAATGCTGCAATGAACATGGGAATGCAGACTCAGTCTTAATGTTCATCCTAATACCATGAGCTTGGTCTGTGGAATCCTCTTATCGACAGTACTTCCCCAAGTGAGCTCATTCAGTCTCACGTCCTTGACAAATCTCTTTTTCTCCTACCCCATATCTAGTTCCTTGACAAATCTTAGCAATTCTGCTTTCAAATATAAATTCAAACTATAGCACTTCTTACCACTTTACTATTAACATGTCAGCAAGATATCATCATCTCTCACCTGGATCATTGTAATAGCTTCCACCTTTGCCCCGGTTAATTTACAATACAGTAAGTAGTCAAGAGTAATCCTTGTAAAGCATAAGTTAAATCATGTTATTCTTCTGCTCAAAGCCCACTAATAGTTACCCATGCAGAGAACATTCTGAGCCCTTACATCATCCATAAGGCCCGACATTATACCCATCTTCTGACTTTATTGTGTACTAGACTCCATGTCCTGA